GAATTGCCAGCCAGCCTGCCATCCATTTCCACTTTCCGCCTGCAAGGACCCCCGCATCGGATTCAGCCTCCCAGACCGACTCTGGGCAAACCTGTGCCAGCAGAAAGTTCTGGAAGCGAGTGTTGGGGAGGATTGCTTCCTGTGGGCTACAACTGTGCTGTTGCATTCCACGTGTCAGCACTAAGGTGGCTCCAATGTAAGAGTGCAGAGACCTGCCAGATACACAGCGAAGCTCCAAGCTGTGCCCTGTGGAGCCTCACTCCTCGTGTGGCCGCCATCTGCCATGTGGACTCTGCAGAGCTGCAGGAGCAAGATGTGCTGCCTGCCTCAGGTTCCCGTGCCGGGTTCCAGCTGAGAGCACTTCTGCCTCCACCAGGACATCAGGACCCTTCTCTGCCCCCACCTGCAGAAGACGTCAGACTGTCTCCCTGGGATGCTTCGCCTACCCTGCTCCTCTGTCCTTTCATTTTTCTGAGATGTTTCTTAATAAATTTGTTTCAAATTGTGTAATTAAATGATTAAGTAATCTTTATATGCTAATTCACAATGGGGGATAGCTAGGGAAGAATAGAGATTGGGCAGAAAGGAGTGAAGGGGGAGGGAAGCAGTATGGGAGTTGAAGTTGGACTTCATTATCCTAAAGATCTATAAATAATCTAAAATAACATTGTGCACTGCTCTGTGGACTGCTCTGTGGTTTGTCATTTTAGATTATAACAGTGCACAATATGTTCCATCATAAAGAACTTAAAGCCAGAGTCAGTAAAGAACTTTCATAAACTCATGAGAAAAATAATTCAATAAAATGGGGAAAACTTGGCAAAAGATGTTCATTAATATTAAAATCATAACGGAATACCACTATGTATTTAGAAAAATACCTGGCAATTTCAAATGTCTAGAAATTTCAATTTTAATTTTGAACTCTCTTGGTGGCTAGAGGAGATGTTTAATGGAGCAATCCATTTGGAATCAGTTTGGTAGTTTCAGTAATCCCAGCAGTGAGCATGCTGGCTGCCAGTGGATATGGGTGGGAGAGCCCTGGGAATGGGTGGGGTGACCCCTGGCTGAGGGAGCCACAGTGCAGCTACCAGGAGCAGGGATCCTAGATTGGCAACACCCCTTCCTGTGGCAGAGGAACTTGGGAAGGTTTGCTTGGCAGCCCAAGGATAAGGAAATTCTGATGGAAGTGTGTGGGCCATGTCGTGCTTCTGCACATAAGGACAGCACAGCCCTCACCTTCCTGTTTGTCTCCTGGTTCCTGGCATCTCCAGACCCCATGTCATGGAGAACTTATCCCCATGGCCTGGGCCCCTGCTGGTTTGGGCTTCCCCACCAGAGAGTGGAGGGGGTCCAAGGTAGAAACCTGGCACCCAGCATCATGGCTCTTTGGCAGCTCCCTGGCAGGGTCTGCAAGACCATCCTGGTCTTCTTCATACTTTTTACCCAAATACTTTTTACCCATGGCAATTTGTACCAAGAATGCTTCCAGGATGTTTATAAAATTGCTAAACCGTCTTTATGTTGCAGTCATTTAAATGAACCAGTGCAAAAGCTCGTATTTACTATTTTAGTTTAACAACAATATAATTACATGCTGGGAACCCTTTAGCTCTTGTGCAGACTACTGTATCCCAGTACCCATTCTTCCCATCTCCCTTTTAGTGTAAAGCTTGTTTGATTCCTATATAAGGTTTGACAGAACACATGGCCCTCTTGCCAGAGGCCACATTTCCCATCTTCTTTTTGAAAGATCAACACATCTACACTGAAGGTATTCAATTCCTTTTTCTTTCAACTTGGAATAACTGGTTTCAAAAGGGTGGTAGCACCTCACTCACATGGTGAGTGATGCAACAAAAGGGTCTGTTCCCTAAGACACCTTAGAACACAGTAGTAACATCTGTGGGGCTGAGAGGGAGGCTTAAAGATTCATCATGATTTCTCCTTATAGTCCTATACAACATGCATACGTGTTACGTTGTGACAGCAGTAACTGAGGGGAATGGGTAGAGATGTACAAAAAGAACATTTTCTGGTCCTGAAGCTATGGTGCTCGAGCTTCACACCAAGTTGTTTCTCTGGCTCATGTTAAAGGTAATGCCCACTTATTAATTCTTGGTTTTATTTCTTGAGCTTTAAAGGGTCTTGTTGAGGAAGTTGGTTGTCGTCTGCATCTATACAATTGTTTTCTTCTGGCTTTTGCAAGGTTTTTGGTCTAATTCCCAAGTGTTTAATCCTTTTTGATTTTACTTTTGTTCAAAACGAAACATAGACACCTAATTTCATTCTCCTACATATAGACATGCAGTTTTCTGTGCTGGCATTTTAAATTAGGAATTAGGTAGGGGACAGAAGAAAATCTTGTCCTAAGCATCATAGGCCTGTATCCTTGCTTGACCTTTGATTCTTGGTTACATCATTCACACAGTATTCTAGAGATTATAAAAGAACAGTGACAAAGAGAATCACTTATCATCATGCAAGTGGAAGGGATGTTGATTTTAATACGGTCACAAGTCCCACTGAACCAGCAGCCTGCCCTCCTCTCCTTATAAGGTTACAAGTCCCATAAACCAGCAGCCTGCCCTCCTCTCCTTATAAGGTTACAAGTCCCATAAACCAGCAGCCTGCCCTCCTCTCCTTATAAGGTTACAAGTCGCACTGAAACAACAGCTTGCCCTACTCCATTATGACCCCATCTGAGGTAATCCCATCATGATATTACCATTACTGAAAAAAAAGGCCTTATTCCTAGGTGTGGGATTAGAACCTATATAAATGTTCTACAAGCTATAATTTAACCCATAACACACTTTATTCCTATTTTGCTAAGAATTTTTATTCATAGGTATTGAATTTTGTCATATGACATTTCTCCATCAATCCATACAATCATCCAACTTCCGGGGCTTATCAAATGGCCTGTCTGAGTGGAGATGGGTTCTATTTGTGAAAACAATTTTCATAGACTAAAAAGCCTTCTCTATGAGATGCCAGGAAATAATGCCACAATATTGCCAGGAGAGGCTTCTAGAAACCAACAGCACCTGGGTCACATTAAAAACCTTTGATCCCAAGGATCAGATTGGTGCTGGTATCTTGGCCCCTGCTTAGATACCATCTTCTGTGTCACTGCTCCAAGGGAACCATTTAGTAAACTGAAATCCCCCAATGTTGCCTGTTTTTCATGATTATCAAATAGCTTTGGAAGTGAGTTTGTGAAAACTCAAATTTTAGATGAATTTAGACTCTTGCATTGGGACTGCTCCTATTGAAACTCCATGGTTCTATGAGAAATTCCATAAGAATCAGTCTCTGTGTAATTCAGTGCCTAAAACTAAAGACTTTTCATAGATTCAACGGTCCAGGTAAGAGCCTCGTGACAGGGATGAGTGCAGTGAGACATGTTTCCTTTGGTTAGTGTCTGTGGTTTATTTCTCTGTCCCCTTTTCTTGTTCTCCCAGTTTTCCAACACTGATACAAGTCCCTGTGGAATGACCCTCTGTTTAAAATACCTGATGCGGTTTATAGTTTCCTTTCTGATTCACTCTATTTTGCACTTACCCTTGAAGCCATCTAAGATTTATTTGCAAACATAGGAAGGGTACAGTTAAATAGAATTAGTACATAAGAACAAATGATAGTCCCTTCCATGTCATCAGAGCTCCCACTAAGTAATGACCACAGGATAGGCCACATTGTTTTGATACTGTTTAGATATAATGTGTATGTACAGTAAAACCCCATCATAATGATATGAGTCCAAAATTTAAGTAAGCTAACAGGAAGGGCACATTTTACTGGCTAGTGGGAGGATGGGAGCCAATGGGTATCATAACCAAATTTGTTTTATTAATGTGAAAGAAAGAAAGAATGACAGAATATTACATTGGCTGTCTCTGTATTTTGGGATTTGGGTGACTTTTTTTTCCTCACACCAATATTCTTCAAAAATTTTGTGACCATAATATGGTAGTTTCTCATTTAAAAAATTTCACTTTTAATTTAAAAATATTTTACATATCAAAATCAAAATATTTGAAAGTATCCTGATTGAACAAATCCTTTTAATAGACTTAATTAAACTGTAACTAGAAAAGGGAGTTTTCAATTGGCTATTGTACAGTTTGAAACAAAATCCATAAAAAGAAAAAAAAAAAGAACAAATGATAGAACTTCATGGGGCTCAATTCTCCCATCATGAACTATGTAGGACCAGAACGAGATAAAACAATGGTGTCCATATTTGCTAACCAAACAAACTAGAATGTGAGGTCTGACAATTCGACAGCAGAGGGAATATCTGAAACTGAGGTCATCCTAGGAAATCTAGGGCACAAGACCTAGATTTGTTGTCTTGTTGCCACAAGACCAGGCCATAAAAAGGTAGTAGTCCTAACAACGCACAGTGAATATGATAGTGTATGGACCAAGAGTTCAGGACAACCAAGAGCAAGGAAGTAGCCATAACTACAGGGAGGTGCAGGTCATCAAAGTGGGTGCAGAGAACATAATAAAAGGTATAAGTGAACAGTCAAAGCAGCCCAATTCCTGACACAGATAGATAGGAGCTCAAAGAACGTCCTCTAATAAATTGATCCCTAATTGATTGTATATGAAAAATTTAAATGAGCTAGTATCCACCATGTGCAAGACATTTTGAAGTTAGAATTTTACTAAGGTTGTCATTTTTTATGTTTTTATTAGTGCATTACAGTTATACATAATATTGGGGTTCATTTTGACATAAGCAATTCTCAAATAATCCACTCCCAACACTTATCTCTCTTAATTTTCTCTTTAACCTAAATCCCTAACAAACATAATCTATGCTTTCCTTATTAGTGATTATTGTCCTTTTATTAGAATGTAAGGTCTTTGACAACAAGAATTTTGTTCTGTTTTGATCATTACCTGTTACAGCCATAATAATTTGTCCCTCAAATCTCTGAGGAACATAATTGACCAAGGTCCAGGGCTGTGCTTAGAAGCCCATCACTATGTTCAGACCAAGACCATGCTTTCTAAGCTGTGCTTAGCCAGTAGCTGAGATGGCATGGATGCTAAGACAGGGCTGTTTCTGGCAGAGGCAGGACTTCTCCTGAGTGTCTTTGGCTTGAGAATTCCCCATGACCTTACCAAACTCTCTTGGAATCACCTGCTATAGATTGGATGTTGAAGATTCCCCAAAGGCTCTTGTATTAAAGACTTGGTTCCCAGGGTGATGCTCTTTAGAGGTTCGATAGAACTTTTAGGAAGTAGGACATTCTGGGAGCTCCTTAGGTCATTGGCGACATGCCTTCAAAAGGGATTGCAAGTCCTTAGTTCCTTCTTCTCCATCAGCCTCCTGGTTGATGAGTTGGGTACCTTTGCTCTGCCACATGCTCCCACCATGATGTGCTGCCTTGCCACATGCCCAAAGCAATGAGGCCAATTGATCATGGACTGGAGCCTCCAAAGCTGTGAGCCAAAATAATCTTTTTCTCTTTATAAGTTAATTATGTCAGGTATTTTGTTATAGTGACTAGAACCTGACTAACACACTTCACTTGAGTCTAAGATGTTCCCATACAACCAAACTTCCATCCTTCCTTCCTTCCTATGTTGGGGTTCTTTAGAGAAACAGGACCAACAAGATGTGTGTGTGTACACATATATATGTGTATACATATATATGTATATAAATGTGTATATACATATATATGTATATAAGTGCATACACACATATGTATACAGATGTGTGTATGTATCTACACACACACACACACACACACACACACACACACACACAGATGAGAAAGAAAAAATATAAGACATTTTTTTTAGGGAACTGGTTCATAGGATCTGAAGGTAGAAGTCCAAAATCTTCAAGTAGCCAGCTGGTTGGAGATGCAGGGCAAACTTGCAGTCTGAATCCAAGGGCCACCTGCTGACAAAATTCTTTCTTGCTTGGGTCGTTGTTCTATTAAGGTTTTCAACTGGTTGCCTGGGTTTTATCATGAGGAATCTAATCGATCTACTAATTTAAATGATAATTTTATCTAAAATACCTTCACAGAAACATCTAAAATAATGTTTGACCAAATATGTGGACATCGTGGCTTAGTCCAGTTGACTCATAACATTAGCCCTCACACTTCTGTTATGGTTTGGATATGAGGTATCCAAATTTCCTGTTAATGCAGGAATATTCAGAGGTAAAACAATTGGATTATGAGAGCTGTAACCTAATAAGTCCATCAGGGTTTGAACAGACCGACTGGACGTCAGGTAGGGGGTGGCTGGAGGAGGTGGGTTAGTGGGGGTGTCCCTTGGAAGGGTGCATCTTCCCTGTGAGCCCTTGTACCCCTGCCCCTGCTTCCTAGTTTTCATGTTCTGAGCTGTTTTCTTCTGCCATGATGTTCTCCTTTGCCACAGTCTGGCTGGGCACAATTCAGGAGCCACTTATCAAGCAGAAACGAACTTTATTTTTAGAACACACATGCCACACCACACCAGCTCTTCAGGAATTCCCTCAGAGCCCAACTGCCACCACCGGCTTCCCACAAGCCTCTCAACGCCCTGCCCTTCCTGCTCTTGAGGCCGATTGGCTGGGTCGTGTGGGCAGAGCCAAAAAAATCCCCCAATGAGCAGCTCCGTGGTCTGAAAGGACGGGGAAACAGCCCAATGAGCATCACTGCAGAGGAGCCAATCAGCTGGCAGCTAGAAGTTTGCTGGCAGCTGGAAGTTTGCTGGGGCCCCTTCGGCTGTGGCTCTCAACACTCCTTCACTTAGGTCTAGAGAGGTATGAGGTCAACTGACTGTGGACTAAACCTTTGAAACTATGAGCCAAATTAAACCTTTTCTTCTCTAAGTTGTTCTTGTTGGATCTTTTGCTCGAAGTGACACAAAGGTAGTAAGACACACTTCTCTCTGGGATCAGATGTGTTTCACCTGGGTGCAGATGTGTTGCTCTTCTCCTTTCTCTCTGGCTCCTTTCCCTCATAGAAATCTTCCTAATAAACCTCTTGTATTGCTGATTCTGATTTGGTGTCTACTCTTAAAGACAAGAGCTACTGAATTTCCAGAGCCTACTGTATGGTACGTTCTCAATAAATGCTAAATGAATTAGTGAATCCCATGGATGGGATAGCAATTTGACTGTGACATGTGATACTCTGTTGATCAATAGAGTTGATTCATTTGATATGACTGGTAGGAGGTTGTCCACTTCTGCCTCTCCTTAACTTCTTGACTCTTATTTCCCTGATTTCTTTTTCAGTCTTAAGACAAAAGAGAATAATCTAATCAGAAGAGACCCGTGGTTCAGTCGAGAGTATATGAATGTCTAAGCTTCTTTGCATAACATCATTGAGCTTTCAAAGAATCTCTTTTCCTTTTCATCTCAATATTAAAAATATAAACCAATTTGTTTGTCAGTAAATCTTCTGGCTATCACATGATAATCACCTGGCCATAGTGCTGTTCCCATAGGGATGTGCTACTGGTCATTAGGGCTATTGTTTTAAAAATATTTTTTGTAGCTATAGATGGATACAATACTTTTATTTTATTTATTTATCTTTATGAGGTGCTGAGGATCAAACCCAGGGCCTCACACATGCTAGGCAAGTGCTCTGCCACTGAGCTACAGCCCCTGCCCATAATTAGGTCTATTTTAATTCTTGATCAACAGGGCAGGGAAAAGGGGGATTTATATAGATGGGGTGCTTACCATGGGTAGGAAAATTCTAGGGATACTAGGTTCAAGGTCAAAATAATCTCATTTAATGAAATTCTGGGATATTTTGGTCATTTACAGAAAAGTCAAATTGTCTTAAATGGTCAGAAATAAAAATGACCCTAAAGGAGAAGTCAGAAAAAAAGCAAAAGGAAACTTAAGGGGGAAGAGAGAAGTGAAGAGAAGCAGTCCACTCTTTGGTTATTGTGATCAGTGAGGGTGACTGGCACTTGTAATGGAGTGCACACAGCCTTATGTATGTTTTAGACTTTCATACCAATTGAGTACGCCATGCCCCAGAGTCACCCTGTTGTTCAAGAGGATGGTCTCCATGGGTCTTTGCCTTCAGGGAGGGAGACTCTGCAAAGTGCAGGTCTTGGGAAAACTGCCACAATTTGCTGGCCTCCTCCTGGCCTCTCTACCTTGTTGTATTGACAAGATTCTACCTATTGTCGCTTCATCTGCTGTTGGGAGGCTGTGATCAACTTGGCCGGTCCACCAGCTAGTCTCTTAAATTTAGATGCCTAGATGGGGTTCCTTCTCCCCTGCTCCACAGCCCAACTCAAGCTTTGGACAGCTGTAAAAAAAAAAAAGGAGAGCACTTTCCTCTCCACAGTCATTCAAGTAGGGGTGGACTGAGGGTGTTTCTCAGACCCAGCATCCTGATAGTCCTTACTACAGAAATTCTCGATTCTGCAGAGCAGTGAAGAAGCAATGAACCAACACTCGATGCAGCATCATGAGGGACGTCACAGGTTAATTAACAATGGGCAGAAGCCAGCCATGAAAGGCAATACACTCTATGGTCGTGTTGATATGAGGTTCAGAAAGAGGCAAAAAGATTCGATGGTGGTAGGAGTCAGAATCTACGTAAGATTCATGTCCTTTACTGAGTATACATCATACCTCAGTAAAATGATAGAATTCTCTTCCTTGGATTCTCCAACCTCAAACTCTAAAAAAGGAGAGAGGCAGGTGGTTGCTGCTGTGGACAGAGCTGGTTTCAGTCATTTAGCCTGACCTGGGCGCAGGTCTTGAGACAACTGCCACAATGTGCTGGCCTCCCCTTGGCCTCTCCTCCTTGTTGTATTAACATGACGCTGCCTTCATGGTGTGGGAGAGTTTAGGGGGCTGAGAGCCACCAATGCATGGAAAGAATTCTGAGGACAACCACCTAAATGACAGTGCTGATGGCCTCCCTGGGGCAGGTCTCACAATAGAAGATTTTGCTTGCTGCTGAATGTAAGCTTGCTTCTATTTGCTTGGTAGAACTGGGTATGTTAAAACGAGGCAGCAGCACAAACATCTTCCCTATATTTGCCTCCTGCCAACTTGATGTAGAGACACAAAGCTTTGCCCCAGGAAGGGAACAGGCTCCCAGTGGCAGTTCTCGGGGCATGATGTCCTTAGAAGGAGGAACAAGCAGCTGCTGGGGTTGCTTCCAGGCTCGGATCATGTGTCTCTGCGATCATCCTCCTGGCAACCCCAGAGGTGACAGCCATGTAGAGACAAGAGAATGAACTGTAACAGAAGTGACATCTGACCCCCCCCATCAGACGCTCAGATTTGTACAGACAAGCAAACAGACTGTGACCAATCTGTGGGAGGAGAGGGAGGCTGAGGAGATGCACGGCAGGCCACCTAGAGGTTGGAGGCAACTGGGGCCATTCTCAGAATAAGGAGGTGGGACCCAGGCCCAAAGAGGAGGAACTGCCTTCCTGAGTCGGTGCTGGAAGGTGAGCTTCCCCTGTGTTTGTGCAGGGTGCTTCCCTTAAAAACTCTTGGAGCCACTAAAAGGCTCACCCCCCACCTTAGGAGACCAAGGCCCATGAACAGAAGGGACATGGCATCCATGAGAACAACTTCTGGGCAACCTCTCCTTCTGTTTTGCTCCATGAAACAGTACGTGGGAGGCATTAAAGCAGCCTTTCTGAATAAAGCCAAAGAAGCGGACTGGCCCTATAGACAGAGGCAGAGACGGCTCTTCACAGGCACAGTGAGCCGAGTCAGGGTAGGACTCCACTGTGTGTTTGGCAAGAGGAGAGTCCTTGGCTGTTATGAATTCTACCATACCCCCCAAATGTTCACGTATCGAAGTCCTAACCCTCAGTATCTCAGGATGTGACCTTATTTGGAAACAGGATTGGTGCAAATGTAATCAGTTAAAATGAGGTCCTGCTAGAGTTGAGCGGACCATAATCCAATATAACTTGTGTCCTGATTGTCTTTGCCTGATTTCTGTTGCTGTAACAAAATAGCGGAGACTGGTTTATTTAGTAGAATAGAATTTTGGTTGGGCCACTGTTCTGTAGGCTGGGAAGTTCAAGAACATGGTGCTATCATCTGTGTAGCATTTGGTGAGGGCCCTCTTTCTGCACCATAACATAGCATAGGGCATCAGGTGGTGAGACACAGCAAGCATGCTAATTCAATTCTCTCTTCCTCTTCTTATAAAGCCACTAAAATCATCCTGGTTACCCACCCTTATGACCTTATCTAATTCTAATTACCTGCCAAAGGCCCTACCTCCAAATATCACTAATATATGACTTTGGGAATTCAGTTTCCAACACCTGAATTCTGGGATACAAGCATTCAAACCATAGCACTGATTACAAAAGGAATTCTGACACAGGCAATCACATCCTCTTGAGTCTCTGGGTGCACATGTATATTTTTTGAAGCAAACATGCACATTGATTGTAATTTTCTTTTTTTTCCCACAAAATACTTATTGTGGACACATGAGAAAATATGAAAGACACAAAGAAAAAAATGTTGCTTATATTTCTACAAGTCAGATTTTTAAAAAATGTCTTATTGTGACACATGTATTTTTTTTGTATAAGTGGGATTACACTGTGCATATTTTAGCATGATTTTTTTCATGTAACAACATATCATGATGACCTTATTCATGTCAAAAATATTCTTCTACATTTTCCTTTTGGACAGCTGGAGAGTATTGCTTTCTATGGATGTATATCCTTCTCCCTCTCAATGGCTCAGCAGCTGCTTCATTATAGAAAATTAATGAGAGTGTAGAGTCCTAGAAAATCTAACACACATGCCTCGGGCATTTTAGTTTGTACAAATACATATACATGTATATTCATTCACCCATGTTTGCACAGAGCAGGGCATTTTTTTAAATATTTTAAAGTTGTTGATAGAACTTTATTTTTTTATTTATTTGTATGTGGTGCTGAGAATCAAACCCAGTGCCTCATGCATGCCAGGCAAGTGCACGCACTACCACTGAGCCACAACCCCAGCCCCAAGGGCACAATTTTTTTACAGATTGCAACAGCTGTAGTTCCAGTCCTTTGTCTTACCCAAAGATGACCCATGATGGCATCACCTTTGTCTCCAGTTTCTGGGTCTTTAATGTTGAATGAGAACTTAATGATCCGGCCAAACAATCCTGGTGCAAAACCTCATAAATGTTCCCATACGTTTGGAGTTGCCTCACCTACATCTCCTTCCACAACGATTCTTTAGCACCTTTCCTCTTAATGAAGTCCTTCCTGGCAATATAACATGGTTTTCATAGAAACAGTCTCTCTGCACTCATCTTGCATCAGTTTGCATAATATTTAGTTATATAATAAGATCAAATTAATGAGTAGAGCTGCCATAAATGACTTTGGGGACAATTCCAATAGACTTAGTAATACAGCCCTTGGTTCATGTAAACAGTAGAATTGAGTGTACGTGCCTTCTCCCATGGAGCCCACTGGCCACCCATGGGCTGGTCATCGGGTTTAATGAAGTAAAGGTAGTTCTGTTCACTTTATGGACTAAATGAGCCTTTGTCTTCTTGGGCCTGATTCAGCCCTGAGGTTGGAATCTGGTCATTTCCTGTTATGTTTTTCTGCCATGATGGTGCTCCATTGAACATTCTTGTTACTGAGTATTGGATTTAGTATTTATTACATGAGTGATCAGAGGTGGTCACCACATTATGATTGCTTGACTTAAGATTTTTCAGTTTTACAGTGATGCAAAAATGGCACACATTCAGTAAAACTGTGCTTTGAACTAATCTCTAGGTTATATAAAGAAATCAAAAAGCTAAACACCAAAAAAAAAAATAACCCAATCAATAAATGGGCCAAGGACCTGAAAAGACACTTCTCAGAAGATGATGTACAATCAATCAACAAATATATGAAAAAATGTTCATCATCACTAGCAATTAGAGAAATGCAAATCAAAACCACTCTAAGTTTTCATCTCATTCCAGTCAGAATGGCAGCTATTATGCATACAAACAACCATAAGTGTTGGCGAGGATATGGGGAAAAAGGCACACTCATATGTTGCTGGTGGGACTGCAAATTGGTGCAGCCAATATGGAAAGCAGTATGGAGATTCCTTGGAAAACTGGGAATGGAACCACCATTTGACCCAGCTATCCCTCTACTCAGTCTATACCCAAAGGACTTAAAAGCAGCATACTACAGGGACACAGCCACATCAATGTTTATAGAAGCACAATTCACAATAGCTAAAATGTGGAACTAACCTAGATGCACTTCAATAGATGAATGGTTAAAAAAATGTGGCATATATACACAATGGAATATTAAAATTAAAAGAGAATAAAATCATGGCATTTTCAGGTAAATGGATGAAGTTAGAGAAGATAATGCTAAGTGAAGATAGCCATTCCCAAAAAAAACAA